AGTCCAGCGGGGCCAACTTTTGTGTAATGCTCAATTTGCGCAGCAGTTATGGCGTATCCGTCTACGCCGGGCACTTGACAACAGTAAAAACTGATTCTTAGCATAAACAAGCACCGATGTAGAGTCAGATTGCCCAAACAGCCAGTGCGTTTGCCCACCGACATACATGACGCGAGTCAATACTTCAACAACGCATCAGGTAACGGTCTATATGCTTGTAGGAAGCACACTCATCTTGACATACGCAGTCAGCGAACTGAGAGTCTAATACTTGGAGTGTTGTCGATAAGAGAAGGATACCGATCAAGCCAGAAGACCCAGCTCACATGTTTAAAGCGCGACAAGATATTTACCGCAACCTTACCCTGAAGTACAATGTGTGCAGGCGCCTTGCGTCTTCGTCAACAAGCAAGTGGCTGGGATCATTAGCTGTAACGAGACTCTATCGCACACTCCTAACCTTCGAATGAACTTTTGGGCCGCACGAGAATTAGAGCTAGCTGACTTGCGAATGGTAGTCGGAGCTGTACGAGAAACGAGCTTCCTAGTAATATAGACCTTTGCCCATGGTGATTGCTACGACGCCATCCATGGTTGTCCATCTTACGCAGTCTACCAAGACTCGTAGGATGCCACATCGATACTTCGATATCACCGTGCACTCCTTTTTATTCGACACGATCCCCGAACGTGTACAGGAGCATAAAAAACTTCCTACGGCGATTTTCTCACAGCATTTCCAACAATATCCTGATCAAGTTACATCGGCTTTCCGCATGGTGCATGGCAACATTCTTATATGTGGAATCACAGTTCGTACAACTGATCATGTTACCCGTTACATTTCACTTTTTCTAAAGTGCAGGTCCCTGAACCAAGCATCACCTGGAAATGATGATTACCTTTGTCATAACGCGTATGTCGGATAGAGCTCCGACCCAATGTCATCGGTCCGGGTCAGACCTTGACTGTAACGGGGTAGCCCGTTACTTAAAATCGACACCAAAGGGTTTCAATAGAGATATTGTCTAGCATGACAATATTCTACCAAGTTTTCGAGATAGATAATATTGAAGGAATAGTATCCCCTTTTAGGATAATATTCATGCGCTGCTCGAAGATTGGTTGATATAAGACATATCGACCAAGGTTGCCACCAACCGCTGCTAGACGCGCGCAATGAGTGGTGAGCAGGTTGTCGTCATACGACGACGAGTTTAATATAGTTAGATGAAGATTAAAGTTATATTGATAGCTTAACTATATTAAACACGGTTCTCTTTTTATCTTTACTTGATCGAGTCGTTCATGTAGATTAGCTTCATCTGCACGTACTAGTGTACGTGAAGTTTCTTGGCACCCAGACAAAGGGTTCCCCGTTACACCTGTTAGCACTTCGTAGTTCGTCCAACGAATACTTAGTGTCCGTCCAACATGTTCATGTTGGACGTAGAAGACAACAACTTCAAGTCACACGTGAAGGCTACTCCCATCTGAGTGACTCATAATGGGAGATAGTCGGCCGAACGAATGTGCTCATGGGCGAACCCGCCATCAGTGGTATGTTGGAGTTTCTAAGCAGAGACCAGGAACATGCCGCTATCAACAAGTTCCTACAAGGAAAGCTTGCCGTCGAAAGACAAAAGATACCTTGGTACAACAACAAGGCTCTCATTAGTCGATGGGCGGGCCGACGCACATGCGTCGAACCGAAACCTTGAAGATAGATATCTCAAGGTACAAAGGAACCGATGAAGATTCCTTTTTGAGATGGCTCGTCGAATAGATGATGTCATCAGGCCCCGTCACATCGAGAGAGACGAGATGCAAGTCGCCTCCGCCCTGTCAAATTTGACGGGACGAGCAAAGACTTGGGCCTTAGGGCTCAAGCTTCACGACCCAAACGTGTTTGAGTCGTTGGAGATCTTGAATTCTCGGCTTAAAGAGACGTTTAAGCCACCGAGAGCCGAGTTCAGAGCACGCTCTGCACTCTTGAGGCTAAAGCAAGGTAAGCAAGCGTGACGTGCACGCTTACGCACAGCACCTACGCTACCTTGCGAGTAGCGTTACGGAGAAGCCTGTTGATGAGCACACGCTCATCAACATGTTAATCTACGGTCTTGTAGATAAGCCGATCAAGACCTACACGTTCCAAGAGGACTTCCATACACTGGAAAAGGCGATAGCGTATGCGGAACAAGAAGACTTTAGCCTGAGACAGTCTCAGGCTAACTCGTCAAACTGTCGTCCGACGAGACGACAGGAAACAGGAGGTCACGAACCAATGGACCTCTGTTATGTCGAGAGCGAGAATTCTCGCTCTCTGAGTCACAAGCGAACGGCAAGATGCTATCGATTTCAGAAGATTAGACACTACGCATATGAGTGTTGTGTCCCGAGCACTGAAACAAGTCCAAAGACAGGACGTGATGACCACCGTTGGCCAAGGAAAGGTCCGCGGCGTGGGTCCGACCATGTCGCTAAGTCGCGACAGCAAGTCGGACCGTCAAAAAACGAACAGGGTCAGTAGGGTCGGAGCACCCTGCTCATCCAGCAACGTCAAGAGAATTTGCAGAACTCTCGACGAAGATTGCTCCCAAAACGCAGTCTCTGTGTGTTACTGCCCCTAGTGTTGAGGTGTCTCTCATCACTTTAAAGATCGAAGTGTCAAGTGGGATGTCACTTCGCGCCCTGATTGACTTTGGGGCGTCTTACAGTTTTTTACAACGCCAGTTGCTAGAGAATAGTAGGCTCAACTGTGTTGAGCGAGAGTTCCCTCCAACGAGGATGACGGTGTGCTTTGCTACAGGCGCATCCGTAACAGTGATTTAACGTGTAGTGGGAATCCACTACATGCTAGAAGGAAAGCAGTATGATGATGACTTCATCGTACTAGATTTGGATGAAAAGTTTGATGTCATCCTCGGTCTTCCATGGCTTAGAAAATAACAGCCGTGGATCAGCCTCCCGTGCACAGCAGTAAATACACCCTGTGGTATGCTCTGGGAGTGGCTAGTGATTCCACAGTGGATAAGTAACACCCCTGCAACGTTTAGCAGATGTGTTACAAATCTGTTGCGATCGGTGCAAGATTTTTTACCGTTTTGATGGTGTCTTCGCCCATAGCCGGGCAATCGATGGAAGGACAGAGGTTGAGTTTCATTGAATCCACGTCCGGAAGGTTCTTACACTAGTGCGAGAGCATAAGTTGTTCGAGAACCTCAAGAAGTGTAGATTCGCAGCGAACAAAATACCACTTCTTGGCTGCATCGTGGGTAAAAACGTGTACGCCCTGATTCGGAAAAGATCAAGGCGATTATCAACTGGCCTGTGCCATTCGACGTCAAGGGACTTCAAACGTTCCTTGGCTTGGCAGCGTTTTTGCACAAATACTCACGCAACTATGCCGAGATGAGCGTACATCTCTCTCGTCTACTAAAGAAAAGCGAGAGGTGATCATGGAGCGCTGAGAGTCAGCACTCTTTTGAAGGCATCAAGAAAAGCTTGGTGCAATCGCCTGTGTTGGTAATTGCAGATCAGGACAGACCATTTCATGTGGTCTGTGACGCCAGCGATTTTGCAATCGGATGCGCGTTAATGCAGTAAGACTCAGACGGCGTTGAGTGTGTCGTCTGTTATCAATCGCGTCATCTGCAAGCAGCTGAGCAAATTATCCGGTGCATGACAAGGAGCTTCTTGCCAAGAAATATGCACTGGCCAAGTTTCGGGTATACCTCTAAGGAGATAGGCCCTTTCATCGTTTATACCGACCATGCGTCGTTACGCACGGTCGTAAACAGTCCACACCTCTCGCAACGAATGGCGAGGTGGCTGTCTTTCTTCGAGGAGTACAATTTTTCTATCAAGTATAAACCGGGATGATTCAATGTCTTCGCTGACGCTCTTTCGCGCCGGCCCGATTTTGAGCTAACTGCTCAACCCAACAGTAGGGGTGATCCCACTGTAGCGACACTAGCAGTGAGTGTTCCGTCGTTGAATCTGCTCGATGACGTGCAAAAAGCATACGCAGAAGATGAGTCTCTTCTGCGGTTGATGGATTACGTATCCAATCCGTGCAGTCAAGCTTTGAAAAGCTTGTTGTTTCAATACCGCTCTTCAACCGAACGGTATTCCGTTCGTGATGTACTACTGTACTCTACAGCAGTCAACGGCGAAACATATTGTGTCGTCTTTCCGGCTCATGAAGATTTTCGATTGCGCATCATATATGAGTGTCAGGATGCTCCAGACAGTAGGCATCGCGGTAGAGAAAAGACTTACCTCACAGTAAGTCTTGACATCTACTGGCCTCGGCGGTATGAGTCTGTGTGCAAATACATGACGGTTTGCGAATTTGCTAACGGTGAAGTCTAGTCCTTCATCCCGTGCACCCTTGCAGCCTCTTCCGATTCAGGCAGAGTATTGGAAGTCCGTATCGATGGACTTCGTCTTCGGGTTTTCCAAAGACGTTTACAAGAATACTGGTATTCTCGTGTTTGTTGATCGGTTTAGCAAGATGGTACATCTTGTTGCTGTACCGGAGTCAATCACAGCCCAGGGATGTGCGCGCGTCCTCATCGATACGATCTTCCGTCTTCACGGGTTACCCCGAGATCTCGTGTCCGATGGAGATCCCCGCTTTACGGCGGAGTTCTGGAAATCCGTGTTCCGTTCACTTGGAACACGTTTGACGATGTCGACTTCGGATCATCCAGAAACAGATGGTCAGACGGAACGCGTCAACCGCGTTCTCGAAGCGATTTTTCGAGGGTGGTTCACTCGTTTACGAGCTGGAGTGAATTCTTGCCGATGGCGGAATTCGCCATCAACAACTCGGTGCACGCGTCTACGACGCATACACCGTTCTTCGTGAATGGCCTACGCCATCCACTTTTACCCGCCTTGTTAGAGTATGACTCGAGTTTAAGGTGGGGTGGACTCGCTCGAACAAAAAACGATCTGGTTCTTGCTCATCACCCGTCGGCAGTGGTGTCGACGTGATGGATGCCGATGTCTATGGGATCGATATCGATGATGACGATGACGAAGATGCTGGCATATTCAGCATCACCAATGACCGCCAAAGTGAGGACGATGACACCCTCACTGGTGATGACAACGTTCTTTCAGCAGTGCACACGAAGCACACTGCTGTTGATAAGGATGAATCAGCAGAGGAATTTCTGCTGACTCGCGAAGCGGCTGTCCGCTTCGTTCAAGACTCTGTTGCAGATGCACTAGACGGACAGAAGAGAAATGCAGACAAACGTGGAAGAGCAAATGTTCTTTAATTTGTTGAAGGAGACCTAGTTTTACTGTCTATAGTAAATCTACCGAAACACGCAGTGACAAACGTGGGCAGCAGTAAATTACTGCCCAAGTACATCGGTCCATTTCGTGTGCTGCGCCGAATGAGCAACGCGGGCACGATTGAACTGCCCCGTAAGATGCGTACGCATCCTACGTTCTACGTCTGTCGTCTCCGCCCGTACTATCAGTACGAGCCCGCTTCAAGATGCGGAGAACACCCCCGCGGTCGAGACCCAAGACCACCTTCGAGTGGTCCCGTTTCAACGAGTCAGTCTGGTCGACTAGAGAAGCGGCCTTTTCGCGCAGTTGAGCGATGTCTCGACGAGCTACAGCCAAGTCGTCGCGAAGAGAACGAGTCGAGCGTTCGTTCTCAAGTTGTGCAAACGCAAAGGCGGCACAATCTTTCGAACGATCGTGCGCGAAGGAATATAAATTATCCCTCACAAGATCCCCAAGCTCATAACACCGAGATCGTTCATGAGCCAGGTCATCTCGCAACTGTTCCGTTAGACGGTTCAGCTCCTGAACATCAACTTGATCCGACCCTCGAGCCAGATCAGGTGTTCCCGCTGCCACCACATCCTTTGGTGGACTCAAGCGGTGGTAAACGCTTCTTAGTGGAGCGTATTTTGAACCACCGCGATGTGAATGGCATCCAAGCGAGTTACCTCGTCCGCTGGCGTGGCTATCCACTGGTTTCGGACATCTGGGAGCCTCGTGCCCAGCTGATTGTTGATGTCCTCGGTCTCGTCGAGCAGTACGACGAGACTTTGCCGTCTCGAACACGGCTACCACTGTACCACCGATGTTTGAAGAACGCATCGGTGAAGAACTCTTCCTCAGCACGGATTGTTTTCGTGCTGGAATCAGGAGGGCAAATCTTCCTCCAATCGAACAACGGGATGCGATCCCGTTCGGTAGTCGTGCCGGCCAACCGTTACAACTCTCTGGATGGCGGCATCCATGGAGACTCCACTTGAGGAGCGTGGCGCAGGACATTTCGGTCCCTGGCCGCTTGATTGGTGCCAGCATGAGCACTGGCACCAGTGTTACCCTGATCCCTTGAATTGCTTAGCTCGTGGTGATGCATGGGTGCATCACCACCATCTCCACGCGCCTTTGGTGGATGGACTTGCGTGATGCGGAGACCCATCGGAGTAATCACTCGATCCAAAGATCTCGGTCATGATTCTGCCGCGCTGACCAGAGCAGTCAGCCTGGCTTTTGCAGTGTCCGCCCCGGGTGATCCCGAGGCGTGAGGAGTCGCCTTCGAGTCGGATGATGAATCATCCGAATCGCCGGAATAGATGAGCGTTATCTCAGACTCGTCTGGACTACGATTCGAGGTACCCGCTGCAGACGCAACGGATGTACCAGTCGCACGTGTTGACTCACCACGTGGAGTATTCACAACAATAGGCGACGAATTATGCTGCTGAGGTGTAAGAGGTACTTTCCGCGGCCGCACGCATGCGTGAAGCCGCCTTTCTTGCTGCTGCAGTAGCAGCTCGCGCGGTTTTTGAAACCATGCGTTGTATTGGCAAATGAATGGAATTTGACCAACAAGTGCATCCTTTCCCAGAGTGATCCAACGGCGGTCACCCTGTCCCAATCAATTTTAATTTATCTAACGGGTGATTGATGGTTAAAGGGTGGGGGGGGGTGATGTAACACGGTGGTCCGTTACACATTTTTGGCACCAAAAGGTTTCAATAGGAGTGTTGTCTAGCATGACAATATTCTACCAATATTATCCGAGATGGATGATATTGAAGGAATAGTATCCCCTTTTAGGATAATATTCATGCGCTGCTCCGAGATTGGTTGATACAAGACATACCATCCATAGATTGCCACCATTCGCTGCTAGACGCGCGCAATGAGTGGTGAGCAGGTTGTCGCCATACGAAGACGTAGTTTAACATAGTTAGATACAGATTAAAGTTATATTGATAGCTTAACTATATTAAACACGGTTCTCTTTTTATCTTTACTTGATCGAGTCGTTCAGGTAGATTAGCTTCATCTGCACGTACTAGTGTACGCGAATTTTCGTGGCACCTAGACAAAGGGTGCCCCTTTACATTGACCCAGGACCAGGAACGGCTGATTCGGGGCGACCCGACGCCATTGGTCCAAAATTCGTGTGTACTACATAATCTGTAATCGCAACAGAGCCTTCAATACACAAGTGTGATTCGTGTTTGGATCAAGTGGGCAAGTCAAGCTTTTATTTGGAAAAGTCCTTGAAGAAACCCATCAAATGGGTCAACATGTACGTCTAAATGTGCACGAAAATCAAGCAGCATTGTATATGTGGTTGACGTCCACACGTGTGTATCTGTAACGGGCATCTTGATTCTGCCATAACACTACTCATTATGCACAATGTTCATCTCTATCTTGCCTATCCATAAACATCGGATACATCTCGTGATGCGTTCACATTGTATAGACGCATGTACATCTTCCAATCATTTTAATTGCAAGCTTGGACAGGTGATCGACTGTGTTTAATTACCATATTCAGACGATTACAAAGAGCTCGTTGCAGGATTGTGAAGCTCTAGAAGATAACGCAGTTGCTTATATTCCACAAACTGACAGGACAACGGATGATCTAGAATAAGTTTGGGCAGCGCCTGAATACAAAACATAACTTCATAAATTTTTGCAATGCACACAACTTCGTATATTCAAATTTTATACATGTATGCATTGCACCTTGTTCGAATAACTTATCATGTATCTGACACTCGGCCAATTTTTCATATCACTCATAGCTGTACATGCATACGAAGCCCCCCAAACTGCTGGTCCACTACGAAGCTCGGGGACTAACACATAGCTTTACCTTTTTATCTGAGCCTTACTAAGTAAGACCAAACCCAGCTTGTCTTCTTCGCCATCAAAACTGGCAGCACCCTCTGTTTGCCGGGTGTCAATGTTGGCGGATGCGACCGATGATGCAGATTCTGGTTGTGTCGGATTTGTATCCATTTATTTAAAATGACATTTAAAATCCGCTAAAGCATATATTTGCTGCAAGCTCGCAGGGTGAAGCTATCAGTGACTATGCGCCAGGTTTAATACCAAATTTTTAATCGTACTTAACTGTGTGTCTGTCTGTCTGTAAATAACGCGGCTGGGTGAATCTATCCCGTACAAAGTGCAATCTAGCCTGTCCCTCTTCACATGTCGATTAGCATAATAGGTGTCACTCTTTAGGTAAGATGCTAATTGCGACCGAATAACTAGTAATTTTTGCAAGATTATCGCACCTGTGTGAATAGCTCAAGGGTTGTAACGGGGTTACACGCGATTATTGAATCGGTTATGTTGTGCGTCCACACCAAGTAAACATCGGTGGATCTGAATGGTACAGTATTGGTACCACATGCTAACGGTTTTACCGAGCCTTATCGGGTAGGGATAGGGGATAAGACTTCTGCCATAGGACCGCAATGTAGAAGTCAGTCCAACAAGGTTTTAGGATTTTATTACCGTAGTTCAAGAATCAATAAATTTCAGTTCTCCTTCTTAATCGTTGGAAACAAGTGCCTAGTCAAGGCGTAGTGTGTTGTAAGAGCATTAGCCTTGTCAAGTCGTTAACTCTTGTTTAACTAGTATTCTCTAGTTAGCGTGTGATTATGTGAATCGGAAACCCTTTTGAACCGGGATCGTTAAGCTTGTACGCTTGAGCGACTGTACGTCGTTATAAGTTGTTCTAACTAAAGACTCTTTGAGTCTAAGACTTCCTCTACTAATGAGCGCTTAGTAGCTTCGCTACACTTGGTAGCACTTGCAGTCAATCTACACCTAAATTTTTAAAGACTGAATCCTCTGCGAGATGGATACGGACATGAACCTATTAGAGGCCCTGCAGATATCGCTTGAGAAGCTCACGGCGTTGGTTGGGCGCAATCAAGTAACTCTTATGATGGCGCAAGGACCGGACGCACTTCGTGCACGTCTCGAGGCCTTCTCGAAATTTTTGTCCACGTTGATCGGACAGGTACATGACCACTTGGTATCTGACGTGCCCACTCGGTATGTTCCAATACCGAACACTAAGTCAAGAAATCTTACTCTAGTCTCATTTGTCAAGACTTAAAAGAAAAAGGCAATTCTCCTTTTGGAAGTTCGAGGGATAGAGGTTGCCATCAGCTTGGACATGCTGCAATCAAAGCAGCAAAAGGTGGACCCGGCCCTATCGGAGTTAGGTGGGCTAGCCAGGGAGAGGGCCTTTACTTCTGGCACATCGATAGAATTGACTTTTACCACCTGGGACATGCTAGAACATCATATATCTCGGGTGTTTGCCTTGCCTAATCAGGCGTATCGCGTGCGATCACGCTTCCTGTCGACCCACCAGGTTAAAATGAACCTAATTAAGTAAGTCCAGGAGTTGAGAACTCTCATCGCTGCTCTGCAACTTGACCCTTTACCTGAGACGGTTTTGGTAGCCATTTTTATGGAGATCTTAGCACTGGCGTTGCCAGAACATAAGTGTTTCGTGCACAACCCTTAACATCTGATGGTGCAGTGGACATAGCGTTAAACGCAGATATCAACTTTAAAACTGCCCGTTATGAATTTCATAGGTTCCAATCAAACTCGCTGAGCAATGCTCATCTCATGGATAGGGCAGAAAAACCACGGACCTTATTATCGCCAAGAAAAGCGAAGAAGCTGATATCTACGCTGTCTTACAACGTTCGAAAACTCGTAGATGTCTTACGTACCTAAGCATCAAACAACTTCGTCCCAATTGTCCTTTGAGAAAGACCAGATAGGTTCATTTAAGCCGAACTCCCGTCGCTTACCAACAAGTCGGTAAAGCGCGGGAAAACGTCGAGTCCCAGTAGGCGCGGGAATCCCTGCTGGGGAAGGGATTAGGCTCTGTTGTACCTCGGAGGTGATGGAGAACAGGGCCTAGCCCCAAATGGCTTCGTGATCATTTATACGAAGCATGAGTACAAGCCAGGCTTATTAGTTGCGAAAGCAACGGTGAAAGGCTTTAATAAGCCCTGGTCGATAATGATCAACCCCAAGGCGTCGTAAATTACGTTAGACGTTATTCCCTAGAAGGGAGTCAGAAGTGTAGGCGGTAAAAGCGCGAAAGAATGAGAATATCACTGTTTGCTTGGCAACAGGTGCATTAGATACTGTGCCTAATGTTTCTGTAAAACTTATGCAATGAATTTTCGGACTTTGACGGTATTTAATGCTGTCTAGTCCTTGATTTGGATGAGAGGTATGATCTTATCCTTAATATGGCTTGGCTAGAACATCATGAGTCATAGATTGATTGGAGGTCAAAGACCTTAGGCGCAACGCACACTGTTCCTAGTGGAGCTTTGGAGAGTCACGAACCCACCTCTGCGAGGGTACAGAAAAGCTTTTGGCGCAAGCCACGGAATGAGACAGTCAGTGTGATGGACATCGGTATGGATGACTCATTGCGTTGGACGATGTAAAATACATTCGATACGAGCCAAGCTCATTGAGTGTTAGTGAGGCGGCACCTACTTCTTCGAGTGATCATCGTCGTGATAACATATCACTGAGTGCTGAGGACATTGTAGGCATAGCGCCAAGTCATTACAAGTTGAACTCATCTGGTGAGCGTGGAGTGACACTTAAGTACCCACTGAGTGATGTTGACCGTGATTGCGACAGACTAAATGTCAATCAAGACATTGTTGGAAAGCACCAAGTCATTAAGGACATCGCATATTTTATGAGCGTGGAGTGGCACGTAAGTACCCCCTGGGTGGTGATGTCACTAGAAGTGGCTCATCACCAGATGTCGGTATTGACATCAGATTTGACATGGATCAAATTAAGCTTGACCTAGTTCGTCACCTTATGGGCGGTATGGTCCCGGATGTAAGCAATGACACCGGCTCTGGTAATGGGCAACTTTAGGTTAATGAGCATTTCAATCTTGGGGACATTGATGTCTCGGGTGTCGTTA